AAATAGTTAATTAGAAGGAAAAAATGAAGAAAAAATATGAAATAATAAGATTAATTAACAATAAAAGCAAAAGTTGAAAATAAAATGATGAGATAAATTAACAAAGAAAGAAAGATATCACAATCCAAAACAAATAAACTGTTATTACTCAAGGTTAAGTGTCAAATTCGAGAGATTAATGCACTTTGCTAAACTAGAACCTAAGCCTGATGCACCTTCATCACCAATTTAATTTCTACTTTTTAAATATTGAAGAAAAAATATATCATTAAATAGTTAATTAGAAGGAAAAAATGAAGAAAAAATATGAAATAATAAGATTAATTAACAATAAAAGCAAAAATTAAAAATAAAATGATGAGATAAATTAACAAAGAAAGAAAGAGCAAAAAAAAGCAAGCACAATAAAAAGAAAAAGAAAAAAGAGCTTTATTGTTTTTAATTAGTTTTTATACTTCAAAATATCACAATCCAAAACAAATAAACTGTTTTTACCTAAGTTATAGTGTCAAATTCGAGAGATTAATGCACTTTGCTAAACCTGAACCTAACCCTGTTGCACCTTCATCACCAATTTAATTAGAACTTTTTAAATATTGAAGAAAAAATATATCATTAAATAATTAATTAGAAGGAAAAAATGAAGAAAAAATATGAAATAATAAGATTAATTAATAATAAAAGCAAAAGTTGAAAATAAAAGGATGAGATAAATTAACAAAGAAAGAAAGAAAGAACAAAAAAAAGCAAGCACAATCAAAAGAAAAAGTAAAAAGAGCTTTATTGTTTTTAATTAGTTTTTATAATTCAAAATATCACAATTCAAAACAAATAAACTGATTTTACCTAAGTTGTAGTGTCAAATTTGAGAGATTAATAAACTTTGCTAAACCAGAACCTAAGCCTGATGCACCTTCATCACCAACTTTATTAAATCTTTTTAAATATTGAAGAAAAAATATATAATTAAATAGTTAATTAGAAGGAAAAAATGAAGAAAAAATATGAAATAATAAGATTAATTAACAATAAAAGCAAAAGTTGAAAATAAAATGATGAGATAAATTAACAAAGAAAGAAAGAAAGAAAGAACAAAAAAAAGCAAGCACAATCAAAAGAAAAAGTAAAAAGAGCTTTATTGTTTTTAATTAGTTTTTATAATTCAAAATATCACAATCCAAAACAAATAAACTGATTTTACCTAAGTTATAGTCTCAAATTCGAGAGATTAATGCACTTTGCTAAACCAGAACTTAAGCCTGATGCACCCACTGCACCAATTTAATTTGAACTTTTTAAATATTGAAGAAAAAATATATAATTAAATAGTTAATTAGAAGGAAAAAATGAAGAAAAAATATGAAATAATAAGATTAATTAACAATAAAAGCAAAAGTTGAAAATAAAATGATGAGATAAATTAACAAAGAAAGAAAGAAAGAAAGAAAGAAAGAAAGAAAGAAAGAACAAAAAAATGCAAGCACAATCAAAAGAAAAAGAAATAAGTTCTTTATTGTTTTTAATTAGTTTTTATAATTCAAAAT